TTAGTTTTGTTTTCTATTGGAAAGAAATAAACAGCTATCAAAGATACCAAGATAGAGATTAAATACACCAATCATTTTCTTTGATCTCACTTAAAAATGTATAGAAATTTGTGAGAACATTTTATATTTATTCTTGTTCATTAGCACAAAAAAATCTAAGAAAAAACTAGTATAAAAGCATTCTTTCTTTATATGATTTTTATGAATATATGTTTCTGTTTGTGAAAATGCGTCTGTAACAGACAAACTGAGTTTATTTTCCAGATAGACCAGACCTGAAAATAGCCTCTTACTGTTGGACAGGAATTTCATTTGTATCGTTTTTGCAAATTGTATCTAGAAAATAGTTTGCCATATTGTTTTATAGTTTTACAGAATTGCTGCCTCATTACAAGATAAGTGTACTAGGTTTAGTTTACATAAAAGAAATGAGAGAGATAGCACAAGGTGAGAAATGATCAAACAAATTTTTATTTATTTTATTGTTATTTTAAAAATTTTTTTTCCATATTATTCACATGTGCATACATTGTTTGGGTCATTTCTCCCCCTGCCACCCTCCACCCCTTCCCCCATCCCTCCTATTCAGCAGACAGGTCCTGTTCTCCCTTATCACTAATTTTGTTGAAGAAATAGACATAAGCATAATAAGGAAGACAAAGCATTTTTTCCTAGTTGAGTTAAGGATAGCTATACAGAGAGATTCCTACTATTGCTTCATGTACCAAATGTGTTACAACCCATGGGATTCACTCTAACTCAATGGATTCTTTACGTGGTCCTGATCCCCCTGCTCATGATAACCTCTGTTTGTTTTAAGGTTTCTGTATTAGTTCTCTGGAATGGGACATCAATGCTTTCATGTTTTGGGTTTTCTACCTATTCCTATATCCCATGTGTGCTCCTCCCCTTGTCTTGTGATCCAAGTCCAACACATTGCTGCATTTGTCTAGATATAAGTCCACATATGAGGAGAACATACAATTTTTGGTCTTCTGATCCTTGTGACTCACTCAGAATGATGTTCTCCAGTTCCATCCATTTACCTGCAAATTATAAGATTTCATTCTTCTTCATGGCTGAGTAAAATTCCATTGTGTACAAGTACCACATTTTCTTGATCCATTCAAGTAGTGGGGCATCTTGGTTGTTTCCATGACTTGGCTATTGTGAATAGCTGCTGCAATAAATAGGTGTGCAGGTGCCTCTGGAGTAACTGTGTTGCATTCCTTTGGGTATATCCCTCAGGAGTGGGATTGCTGGATCATATGGCAGGTCTATGTTTAGATTTTTAAGAAGTCTCCAAATTTTTTCCAGAGTGGTTGCACCAGCTTGCATTTCCACCAGCAGGATTAGGTTCCTTTTTCCCCACATCCTGCCAACACCTGTTGTTGTGGTGTTTTGATGATGGCTATTCTAACAGGGGTGAGGTGGAATCTTAGTGTGGTTTTTGATTTGCATTTCCTTTATGGCCTAGAGATGGTGAGCATTTTTTCATGTGTTTTTTGGCCATTTGAATTTCTTCTTTTGAAAGTTTCTGTTTAGTTCAGTTGGCCCATTTCTTAATTGGTTCATTGATTTTAGGAGAGTTTTAGTTTCTTAAGTTCCCTGTATATTCTTTATCATCCCTTTGTCTGATGTATAGCTGGCAAATATTTTCTCCCACTGTGGGTGGTCTCTTAGTTTAGAGCCATTTCTTTTGTTTGTGCAGAAGCTTTTTTAATTTTATGAGTCCCATTTATTCATTCCTTTCTCTTAGTTGCTGGGCTTGCTGGGGTTCTAATGAGGAAGTCTTTGCCTATACCTATTGTTCCAGAGTGTTTCCTGCTCCTTCCTGTAGTAACTTCAGAGTTTCAGGTCTGATATTTAAGTCTTGATCCATTTTGAGTTGATACTAACAGGGTGATAGACATGGATCTAGTTTCAGTTTTCTTGCAGACAGGTAACCACTTTTCCCCAGCAACATTTGTTGAAGAGGCTGTCTTTCTCACAATATTTTTGGCACCTTGTCAAAATGAGGTGGGTATATGTGTGGATTCATAACCTGGGTCCTCTATTCTGTTCCACTGGTCTTCATGTCTGTTTTTGTGCCAGTACCATGCTGTTTTTATTGCTATTGCTTTGTAATACAGTTTGAAGTTTGGGTATTGTGATACCTCCACATTGCTTCTTTTTGCTGAGTATTGCCTTTGCTATTCCACAGTATCTTTCTGTCCAAATGAACTTTAGGGTAGATTCTTTCAAATCTCTGCGATAAATTTCATAGGGATTAGGATGGGAATTGCATTTAAAACATGTAGATTGCTTTAGGTAGTATA